CTGGACGTGGAGGTGCAGCTGAAGCAGGAGCGCAGGGGCTCTGGCCGTGGTGAGCACTTTGTGGAGTGGTGGGTGCTGAGGCTGAAGGACACCCCACCCCAAGAGGGCAACATCCTCCCCATGATCATCTTCAACGACAAAGTCAGCCCCCCCAGCCTGGGCTTCCTGGCTGGCTACGGGTATGTGGAGGGTGCCAGGGCGTGGGGGGATCCGGAGGGAGCCGCTGCTGGGATCCAGGGATCCAGGATGTGCCCCCACCCCTTGCAGGATCATGGGGCTCTACGTGTCCATCGTGCTGGTGATCGGCAAGTTCGTGCGGGGCTTCTTCAGCGAGATCTCCCACTCCATCATGTTCGAGGAGCTGCCCTGCGTGGATCGCATCCTGAAGCTGTGCCAGGACATCTTCCTGGTGCGGGAGACGGGTGAGCTGGAGCTGGAGGAGGAGCTCTACGCCAAGCTCATCTTCCTCTACCGCTCGCCCGAGACCATGATCAAGTGGACACGGGAGAAGAACTAAGGGGAAGGGGCTCCAGCCCCCCCAGACAGGGACATCACCGCCAATGCCTTAACCAGCCCCCCCAGCTGGGGCCGCATCCCGGCCCGGGAGGCAGTGGGATGTGGGGTTCTGGGCGCTCCCTTGGAGGATGTTTTTCTGGATGTTTTTCTTACGTTGCTTTGAAGCCGTCCGACCTGCACAGACCACGTTGTGCCTTCCCTGGGGACGGGGACAGGAGCTGGCCCCCCTCCACCCACTGGCCACCCCTGGCTGCCAGCTGGGGATGGGGAGGGGTCAAGAGCCAGCCCGTGCCCCCTCCCTGCTGGCCCCAGCCCTGCTCCAGAACCAGGTTGAACTCAAGCAATAGCCCCCCCCTCCCCCCCCAGCTTCAGGATGGGGGTCCTAGGTTGTGGCCCCCCACATTTGAGGGGGGTGTGGCAGCCCCAGTTGGACTTTAGACATTTGTGACTTTGGTTTGTTTTTTTTATTATTAATTCAAATGGTTTATTTATACAGATAGCAAATAAAACAAACTTGAGTCCTCCCTGGCTGACAGGCAGCTGGGGCAGGGAGGTGGAGGGGACCGGGGACCTGCACCCCAGCCCCCAATAAATGGGGGCTGGGGGCTCTCCCTGCCCTTGGCTGGGACAGAAACAGGGTATAAAAGCAGCTGCCTGGGTGTCAGGAGTCCTCACCAGCCTCTGGGGTATCCCTGAGGAGTGACACCTGCCCCAGCAGTGCCACAGTGGGATGGGAGCGTGTCCCCCGCTGTCCCCAACCCCTTCAGCTCTTACTGGACTCCTGGTTCTCCTGGTTCTGCTCCATCTCAGCTCTGCAAGGGACCGACACTGGATGGACACGGCCTCGAGGGCTGAGCAGGTGGGGAGGGGCCCCGCAGCCCCGGTACCTGCGGATCCTGCGCTGACCCTCGGCGCGCACGTAGGGCGGCAGCGTGTCGAGGGGACCCTGCACGAGAGGGGCCGTGAGCCTGGGGACCCCCATCACCCCCCAGAACCACCCCCCTGCACCCCAAAGCCTCACCAGCTCCTTGAAGGTGAGGCGGCAGCCGTAGCACAGCAGGGGGATGTAGGCAGCTTTGCTCTCCACCCTGTGGGACAGGGACGAGGACAGGGACACTCAGCGGTGCCTGGGAGCGGGTGCGGAACCCCGGAATGCCCCCAGCCCATGTGCTCACCCTGCTGCCGGCTCATCCAAGATCAGCGTGGGCTCCAGAGCCAACTCCTCCTCTGTAAGAGCCAGGGGGTCACTGAGGGGTGCACGGCTGCTCCCCAAATCCCCCAGTGCCCTCCCCACTCACCCCCATCAATGTCCAGGCCGCAGAGGCAGAGGAGGCAGCGCTGCGACTCACTGCTGGCCTTGGCTGGCTCCGGGCTCAGCTTCTCCCCTGTCCTGCAGCCAACGCAGGGGTTGTGGGTGCACCCCACTCCTCCCAGACCCCCAGCACCCCCAGACGGACCCCCCGTACCGGTACACGGTGCTGATGGTGGAGGGGAACTCCTCCTGCAGCCCCAGCAGGAAGCGCTCCACCAGCTGGTGGATGCTGGGCTTCTCCCGGCGCTGTGGGAACCAACGGGGAGCGCAGGGCAGGACTGGCGGGGTCCTGTCCCTGCCTTGGGGACACAGACCGTGGGCTCCCCACCACGGCACCCCCCTACCTTGGTGAAGAGGGGCGGCACGATGACGGTGGGGACGCCAAAGAAGAAGTTGTAGAAGGCGATCTCCTTGGCCGTGTAATCCCGCATGGGTCTCACCACCATCACGTCTCCGTGGCGCTGGTCCGTGAAGCCCTGCGGGTGCAGGGCTGCCAGGGGACCGTGCCACCACCAAGCCAAGCCCCCCACGGCGTCGTGTCACCCCCTGGGTGCGGGCGCCCGTCCCCAGCTCACCGTGTCCACGGCGAGGAAGGCGCCACGCCCCAGGGAGAGGTTGGTGAGGAGCTTGATGGCCACGCGCGTGAGGCTCTCGCCCATCATCACCTTGGCGTAGCCCCTGTCCCGGGCGGTCTGCACGATCAGGTGGGTCCTGGGGACGAGGTGCCAGCGGATCAGAGCCACCCTGCCCACCTGGCGCTGGCACCGGCGGGGTCAGTCCCTCACCGCAGCATCTCCAGCAGCTCCTCCCGCGCGGTCGCCGTCCCCGCGGCCTCGAAGCCGCGGAGCAGCTCCTGGGTTTGGGCAGCGTCCGGCAGGCGGGGGGTGGCCGGGGGTCCTGCTGGTGTGTCCTGGGAGCTGTGACCGGGCAGAGAGGTGCCAGTGTCCCCGTCCTGCCGCTGCTGCTGGATGAAGCTGTCCACAGCCTCCTTGTAGGAAGGGCCGGATGGGCTGGACGCGCTGGCGCGCTCTGGCCCCGGCTGTAAGATGGATGGGGGCAGCTCCAGCGCCTGTGGGGCACAGAGGGATACGGGGGAAGTTGTCCAGATGCGTCCCCTCACCTCGACACCTGTCCCCAGGTCACCCCAATACCTCCTCCAGGTGGATCAGGTGGTAGGGGAAGCCGGTGGCCTGCAGCAGGGTCTCCATCTGGGCCAGGGTCTGCTCGCGCTGCTCCGGGCTCTGCCTGCGCACAGCTCCCTCTGGAAGGCCAGGGGACAGCACCAGGGCTGCTGTCACATTGCCAGCCCCGTTCCTGGGGCCAGGGGACAGCACCAGGGCTGCTGTCACATTGCCAGCCCCGTTCCTGGGGCCAGGGGACAGCACCCTGACACTGTGCTGGGACTTGGTAATGGGGCAGGGAGTGGGGCTGGGAATGTGCAAGGAATGGGCAGCAGGGCTGGGAAAGGGGTAGAGAATGGATATTGGGCTGGGAACGGGGCAGGGAACAGGCAATGAGCTGGGAACAGGCAGTGGAGCAGGGAATGGGCTGGGAATGGGCAGCTGGGACACTGAGCAGCAGCCAGGCTCTCTCACCCTCAACGTAGACGAGGCCAGGGACGAAGCGGAGCCTCTTGGCTGCCTCCCGGCTGAGCCCCTGGCAGAGCAGTGGGGTGAGGAGTGGGGTGAGGGGGTGAACGAGCCCTGCACCCCCCAAGGCCCCCCGAACCCCCACTCTCACCTCCTGCACCTGCCGGACCATGGCACAGGAGGCCGGGCCCCCTGACACTGCCAGCAGCACCTGTGGGGACAGCAGGGACGGTCACGGGCCCTGGTGCCACCCCCGGGTCCCCTGTCCGTGTCCCCACTCCCGGTACCTTCTCTCCCGGGAAGATGACGCGGTTCTTGCCCAGCATGGCGCGGAACTTGTGCACGAAGTACTCGCGGAAGCAGCCGCTGGGGGACACGGGGACATGGGGTGCCTGTGCCGACACCCCCAGACCCCACATCCCCACACCCAAAGCCCCCTCGGTGTCCCCGAGACCAATGTCCCGCAGAACAACGTCCTCAGGCCCCGACATCCCAGAGATCCAGCGATCCCCGTGAGCCACGTCCCCAAACATGACTGTCCCCCCTCCTCGATGTCCCCAAGTCTCAGTGTCCCCAAGCCTTGATGTTGCTTGGCCCCGATGTCCCAGACCCCCGATGTCCCCAAACCTTGAAATCCCAGAGATCCAAGGTCCCCAGCCCCAACATCCCAACGCTCCAGACACTCAACATCCCTGAGAACAAATGTCCCCAATCCCCGATGTCCCCAAGACCCAAAGCTCCCAAGCCCCCGCCTTCCGGAGGCTCCCAGCCCCCAGTTCCCGGTGTCCCCGAGCCCCGCTGTCCCTGCCCGGTCCCTCACCGGCAGAAGGGGTCCCCGACGCGGATGACGAGCGCGGCCGTGCCCTGCCCGCACTTCATGCACGTCCGGGGGTGGCTGCGGGGACACGGCCGGTCACCGGGAGCGAGACCCAGCCGGGGGAGGGCAGCCCCGGCCCCCGGGAGCAGCGGGGACACCCGGGATGTTACCGGGTGAGATATCGGGGGGATGTTACCGGGTGAGATATCGGGGGGATGTTACCGGGAGCGGGGGATCGGAGGTGGCACCGGAGGGATAGCGGGAGCACCACCGGGGGGATCCCGGGGTGACACCAGAGGCAGCCCCGGGGGACACTGGTGACATACGGAGGACAGCACCGGGGGGACACCGGGCCGGTGCCGACTGGGGATGTCCCGGAGGCAGCACGGGGGGATGCCCGGGGCAATACCGGGGGGTACCGAGAGCGGCCCCGGGGGTCCGTTCCGAGGCCGGACCGGACTCACACACCTGTCTCCCGGTGCGCGGCGGCGCCGCGGCGGTTCCGTGTCCGCCCCGCAGCCACCACCGTCACCCGCCCTGTCGCACATGGCGGCGCCACTCGGTCCCGGTGGATCCCGATGGGGCCCTGCTGGGCTCGGGTCCCGCTCGGTCTCCTTCGGCTCCGTTCGGCTCGCGCTCGGCTCCCGCTCGGCTCCCCTCGGCTCCTCTCGGTCCCGGCGGGCCGCCCCGTGTCCCGGCGCGCTCCCGTCGCGCGGCGATGACGCAGCGGCGCCGCTCGGTGACGTTGCACCCGCCCCGCCGGCCGCCGCCGCCATGTTCCGGAGCCTGCTGGTGGCGGCGGCGCAGCGGCCGCAGGGCCCGGCCGGTCCCCCCCGCGCCGACCCCGGGCCGGGGGCCGCGGCCGAGGCGCTGGAGGCGCAGTTCAGCTGCCCTATCTGCCTCGAGGTTTTCCACCGCGCCGTCGGCATCGCAGGCTGCGGGCACACGTGAGACGGGGCCCGGGCGGGGGCGGCGGGGACCCCCGGAGACCCCCGGGCTGAGGCGGCCCCGGGGACGGGCGGGAGGCGGGGCTGGGAGCTGTGCCGGCCGTGGGATCCCTGCGGGCTCTGCCCGGTGACCCCGGCTGGCTCCGGGGATGGTTCGGTAGCGGGACCCCCCTCTCGCCCTCAGTGAAATACCGGGACCCTCATCCCATCCCACACCGGGATCCCCATCCCGCCCCTTCCGTTCCCTCTGCTCCCAGACCTGGCTTCTGTCCCCAGGACCCCCCAAACCCTTGTTCACGTGTCCCCCCAGCATTTCGGGGACACCTTGATCCCATTTTCCGTCTCATTTTGGGGACGTTCCCGAGGAGCTGTGGCTTTGTTTGGAGCTCCTGCTTGTTTGGGGCTGGGGGCGATTCCTGACCCCTCCATGATCCCCTCTCCCCATCCCCACTCCCCTTGCAGTGGCAGGGGCTTTGGGGAGTTTCATTCCCAGGTCCTGGTGGCTGGAGCTGGGGCCAGGAATGCCAGGATAAATCGGATTTTGGGGACGGGGCTCCTTTGCCTGTTGGTGTTTATCTCCTCTGGGCTGCTGGGACTCCTCAGCCCTTGGATTCCTTTGCCCCTGGGGATGTAAGGAGCTGGGAATGAGGTGATCCAGGTTCCTGCCTGGCCTGGATACCCGGCAGTGAGGATGAAAGGATGGCACAGCCTCGGAGCAGTGGAATTGTCTGTGCCAGCAGGGACTCACCTGCTCCCAAGCTCCCAGTTCTCCCAGTATGGACGCTGATCCCTGGCTCTTGGGGTGTTGGGAGTCCCGGGGAGCGGGGTGCCCTGCTGGGCTCCTGCTGTCCCTGGGGTGCTCAGGGCTGCTGTGTGCCCCCAGGTTTTGTGGGGAATGCCTGCAGCCCTGCCTGCAGGTGCCCTCCCCGCTGTGCCCGCTGTGCCGCATGCCCTTCGACCCCAAAAAGGTGGAGAAGGCTTCCAGCGTGGAGAAGCAGCTCTCGTCCTACAAGGCTCCCTGCAGAGGCTGCAGCAAGAAGGTAAAAGTGCCTGTCCCCATTGTCCCCATTGTCCCCATCGTCCCCATCCTCCTCTGGAATGTGTCCAGAGCTGGGGAAGGGTCTGGGGGAGGCTCAGCCTGCAGAAAAGGAGGTTCAGGGGGAATTTCTGGCTCTGCACAACTCCCTGCCAGGAGGGGACAGCCAGATGGGGGTCGGGCTCTGCTCCCAGGGAACAGGGACAGAACCTCTGGGGGTCCCTGCAGCCCCAAATCTCCGTCCTGCAAGGAAGGATGGGTGGGTGCAGCATTCCCACTGCTGTGGGTCATCCCATGTGGACCAGAGGTCAATCCCACCTCAGCTGAGCAGAGCCAGCTCTATCCTGGCTCCTGGCAGGTGTTCCTGCACCTCCAGGAGTGTTTCTTGTCCTCCTTCTCCAGGTGACCCTGGCCAAAATGCGCTCTCACGTCTCGTCCTGCGCCAAGGTGCAGGAGCAGATGGCCAACTGCCCCAAGTTTGTTCCAGTTGTCCCCACATCCCAGCCTATTCCCAGGTATTCCTGTGCCTCGGGTAGGGAAACGTGTCCCTCCTTGCATGCCTTAAAATCCAGGTGTGTGTTGTGGGAGGAAGAGCAGCACCTTTTCCCTCCTGGCACTGCTGCTCCGGGTTTCGGAGCGTGGGGAGGGACGAAGGATCCACCAGAGTGGGGAGGTGGGGTGGGAAGGGGCTGGGCTGGCTCCTGCTGTGCCAGACCTCTGCTGTGTTAGTTTGGAAGGAGTCAATCCGGCCTCCCCTCAGCTCTGAGCTCATCCTTGCTCTCTTCAGCAACATTCCCAATCGCTCCACGTTCGTGTGTCCGTACTGCGGGGCCCGGAACCTGGACCAGCAGGAGCTGGTCAAGCACTGCATGGAAAACCACAGGAATGACCCCAACAAAGTGGTGAGTGATGCTGGGATGTGTGGGACAGCTCTGGAAATCCAACCACACCCCGGCTGCTGCAGCATCCCAGGCCACCAGCACGGAGTTCTGGTTCTGTGTTCCAGCTGGTTTAAATCCCTCTGGGAGCTGGGGATCTGTCTCTGCTTTGTTAGAGGCTCCCTGGAATGAGCTGCCTCCATCCCCCTGCTCCTGCAAACCAGGTGGTGCTGGATTTCCTCTCCCTGTTCCCTCTGGGTTCACCAAGGTGGGGAACTTGGGATCTTCAGCACAGGAAGGACCTGGAGCTGTTGTAGCAACTCCAGAGGAGATCATCAAGTTGAGCAGAGGGATGGAGCAGCTCTGCCGTGAGGAAAGGCTGGGAAAATTGGGATTGTTCAGTCTGGAAAAGAGAAGCTTCAGGGGGACCAAGACCTCCAGGAAAGGTGGAGAGAGGCTATTGGCAAGGGCCTGGAATGACAGGACAAGGGGGAACAGATCCAAACTGCCAGAGAGGTGGTTTGGGTTGGATATCAGGGAGAAATTGTTCCCTGTGAGGGAACAGGCACAGGTTCCCAGAGCAGCTGTGGCTGCCTCTGGATCCCTGGAAGTGTCTGAGGCCAGGCTGGACACTGGGGCTTGGAGCCTGTCAGAGGAGGGGCACCACTGACCTCTGTGGGAGGTCCCTGTGCAGGTGCCACCGTTCCATGTCCATGTCCCCACAGGTGTGCCCGGTGTGCTCGGCCATGCCCTGGGGGGATCCCAGCTACAAGAGTGCAAACTTCCTGCAGCACCTGCTCCACAGGCACAAGTTCTCCTATGACACCTTTGTGGTGAGTGTCTAAAAAAGGGGGAATCTCCTCCGTGTGCTCCATGCCAGGAGGTGAAACCAGCCCTTCCCATCCCCTTGGGCACACCCATGAGACCCTCCCACACCCACCAGGTTGTCCTCACACACCAGGAGCAGAGGGAATTGTTCCTGCGCTCCACAAAATGGGTTTTTTCCATGAAACTCTTCCCCTGAGGAATTCTAACACAAAATCTCTTTTCTTGGAGGTTTTGGGAACAGGGGGTGGGACCAGCCCAGCCCTGGGGTTTGGGGGGGCTCTGGTTGCTGCACGTGGGGGGTCCCTGACCCCTCCTGTGTGGGGGGCAGTTGTGATGGCTCAGCCTTGGCCTCAGGGGAGGCTCTGTTCCCATCTTGCTTTTGTTGGATAGATGTCAGGGAAAAGAACCTCCAGGCTTTTACAGAGGAATATCCCGACTTCTGGTGGATAAACCTGACCTGGAGCTCTGCCAAAACCCCTGGCCTTGCTAGAAAGCTTCACCCTTTGGCCTCAGCTTGTGTGGGCATGTTCCATCCCTCCTGCCAGGTGGGATATTCCAGGCAGGAGAGGGATGCAGGCACAAAGGACACCCCAAAGAGCACGGGTGCCGTTCCTGGGGTCTGTGTGCCGGAGGGATGGAGGCTCTGGGAGCGGGCAGGCCTCCATGGGGACGGTGTGCCCTGGCTGTGCCAGCTCTCCTCAGCTCCCTGTTTGATTTTCAGGATTACAACATCGACGAGGAGGCAGCGTTGCAGGCAGCCCTGGCTCTGTCCCTTTCTGAGAACTGAGGCTGATCCTTCTGCCTCCCCCGGCTCCTTCTGCACATTCCGGGAGCCCTTTGGAGCTGCCTCTGTTCCTGCTCTGTTCCTCTCCAGACAAATCCCACCTTGTTTAAAAAGGTGGAGCCTCTTCAGCTGTCACAGTGAGTGAGCAGAGACCTCTGGAGAGAGGAGCTGGCGCCGCTGGGCTGGGATCAATCCTTGGATGGGCATTTCATATCCGTGCTGGGAGCATATCCCCGTGTCCAGATCTATTTATTATTAGATGCTTTTTGGCACACTCCTCCCTGCTCTCTGTTGCAACAGAATAGGTGTCTGAAACTGATAGATTGGATGCCAAACACCCTAATTTGGGACTGGAGTCAGCCACATCCTTTTAAAAAGGAGGAAGGCAGCACGGAGCATCTTTTTTTAAACTCTCCAAGGATTTTTCTAGAGATGTCAGGCTGTCCTGACGCCCCTGTGCTGGAGGCTGGAGCTGCCTCCTTCACCTGAATCCCAGGATGAGACTGAAGAGTGGTTCAGAGGAGCCCTCGAGGATGGCATCCAGCATCCAGGGAAACCCTCCCTTCCTCGTTTTGTACCGGCTCTTGGAATACCAAATCCTTGTGTTTTTCTACACGAAGCAGCGCGAAGCCTTTTCCACGTTTTGTAGAGCGGGGTCAGAAGCTGTTCCCCTTCACACTGCAATATCTGCCACCTGGGACAATAGTATTTTTATGGAACATTATTAAGAAAGTTTATTTTTTACACAACCCAAGCAAATGAACAAGTGGATTGGGAATGGGGCAGGAGGCAGGAGCTGGATCCCAGAGCGGCGGGTCGGACTCTGAGGTGGGGGGAAGTGCAGGGATATTTCTGGGCCATTGTGGGATATTTCTGGGCCTTTGCTGGATGTTTCTGGGCCTTTCCCTTCCCTCACCAGAGCTGTCTGCCTGTGAGGGAGCAGGCAGGATCGTTGTGCCATGCTGGCACTCGGCAGGAGCAGCTGGATTGGATCCAGGTGCTTGTTGCCCGTGGAATGTCTGTCCGTGCAGGATGCCAGCCCCGAGCTCCTTATCCCCTCAGAAATAAGGGATTGTGTCTCCCTGTTGTAATCCCTCCCTGGGAATGGGGCAGTGTTGATCCAAGGTGCTCCACAGCATCCTGGTGACCCGTTCCCCCTGCCCCTTCCCCTCAGCCCTGCCTGCTGCTGGTGGAGTTGGCTCTGGAGGGCTGGGAGAGGTTGGGAGGGAGATGAGCCTGAGGCTCCCAGTGCTGGAACTAATTCCCGAGAGCCTTCCTGCAGGATTTTCAGGGAACAGGGGTGGGAGAGCCCCCTCTGCGTCTCCCTGCCCGGAGAATTCCAGAGCTTTATCCAAAACCTGGCTCCAGCTCTGCTCTAGCAATATTGGCTTGGGTTTTATTTTGATTTTCATAGTACTGGTTGATTTTGGGATCTGCAGCCCTGCGAGGAGCGTGCAGGGAACCCTCAGCTCCCCAGGCAGGGCAGGGAAAGGGCTGGAGCTGCCCTGCTCCCCTTTCTGGAGCCAGGCCAGCGAGGAGGGATGTGATCTTAACTGTTGGAGGATGTTCCTGGTGGGATGGAGAGCACTGCCATCTTCCAGGAGGGACCCAGGAGCTGTCCTGTGCTCAGCTGGGACCCTCAGCTGCTGCTCCATGAGAGCTCCCGGCTGCTGGGCCAGCACTGTTGACCTCGGGCTCCTTCCCTCTCTCCTCCTCCTTCTTGCCCCACAGAGACAGAGCAGGGGCAGCAAGAGCTGCTTTTGTAAAGCACTTTAAGGCCCCAGGTGTGAGGGGCCGCACCAGGCCATGCCAGGGATCCCTCTGTGCTGTGCCAGGGATCTGTGTGTGTGCTGTGCCAGGGATCTGTGTGTGCTGTGCCAGGGATCTCTCTGTGCTGTGCCAGGGATCTGTGTGTGTGCTGTGCCAGAGATCTGTGTGTGCTGTGCCAGGGATCTCTCTGTGCTGTGCCAGGGATCTGTGTGTGCTGTGCCAGGGATCTGTGTGTGCTGTGCCAGGGATCTGTGTGTGCTGTGCCAGGGATCTGTGTGTGCTGTGCCAGGGATCTGTGTGTGCTGTGCCAGGGATCTGTGTGTGCTGTGCCAGGGATCTGTGTGTGCTGTGCCAGGGATCTGTGTGTGCTGTGCCAGGGATCTGTGTGTGCTGTGCCAGGGATCTGTGTGTGCTGTGCCAGGGATCTGTGTGTGCTGTGCCAGGGATCTGTGTGTGCTGTGCCAGGGATCTCTGTGTGGTGTGCCAGGGATCTGTGTGTGCTGTGCCAGGGATCTGTGTGTGCTGTGCCAGGGATCTGTGTGTGCTGTGCCAGGGATCTGTGTGTGCTGTGCCAGGGATCTGTGTGTGCTGTGCCAGGGATCTGTGTGTGCTGTGCCAGGGATCTGTGTGTGCTGTGCCAGGGATCTGTGTGTGCTGTGCCAGGGATCTCTGTGTGTGCTGTGCCAGGGATCTGTGTGTGCTGTGCCAGGGATCTGTGTGTGCTGTGCCAGGGATCTCTGTGCTGTGCCAGGGATCTCTGTGTGCTGGGGATCCCTCAGGGCCGTGGATCCACAGATCCCACCGGCCATGCCCGCCAGTGCATCACCCACCACTTTTTAGCATAATTAGAACTTTTAATGAGCCGTCCTGTTTTTTGAAGAATTAACTCGATGACGTATTTGTAGCAAACCATTTTTCTCAATAAAGGCAGTTTCATCCACGCCTGGCCTCCGCGGGGAAGCACTGAAGGGATCCAGGTGGGCTCCGAGGGCACTGGGGATATTGGGAGGGCTGGGAAGTGAAGGTTACAGGGAATTTGGGAGGTGGCCGGGGGACACCGGGAGGCAGAGCGGTACCGGGAGCAGAACCGGAGCGGTACCGGGAACCGCGGGCAGGTACCGGGAGCACCGGCAGCATCTGCGCATGCGCACTTCTTGCCCAATTCAAAAATGGCGCCCCGGCAGCCGCGCCCAGCGGGCTCAGGGGGCGGTGCCTCCCGTGGTCCGATCGCTGCCATTGGCTGTTGGGAACCGGGTGCTGCGCTCTCGACCAATGGCGAGGCGGGACCGCCCGCAGGCCACGGTCACGTGCGTGGCGCGGGGGCGGGGACTGGACGGCGGCGATGGCGGCGGAGCGCGGGCTGGCCATGGCCACCTGCACGGCCCCCGTGAACATCGCGGTCATCAAGTACTGTGAGTGCCGGGGGACACGGGCCGGGGGCGGCGGCACCGATTCCGGGCTGTGCTGGGTGGGCCAGGTCCGGCCGTGTCGGGCCAGGCTGTACTGCACTGCAATTCCTAGCCGTGCCATTCCAAGCTATTCCATGGCGTGCCATTCCTGTCAGTGCCATTCCAAACTGTTCCATGCCACTCCTAGCCGTGCCATGCCATTCCTGGCCGTGCCATGCCATTCCTGGCCGTGCCATGCCATTCCTGGCTGTGCCATGCCATTCCTGGCTGTGCCATGCCATTCCTGGCTGTGCCATGCCATTCCTGGCTGTGCCATGCCATTCCTGGCCGTGCCATGCCATTCCAAACTGTTCCATGCCATTCCTGGCCGTGCCATGCCATTCCTGGCTGTGCCATGCCATTCCAAGCCGTGCCATGCCATTCCAAACTGTTCCATGCCACTCCTAGCCGTGCCATGCCATTCCTGGCTGTGCCATGCCATTCCTGGCCGTTCCATGCCATTCCTGGCGGTACCATGCCATTCCTGGCCGTGCCATGCCATTCCTGGCCGTGCCATGCCATTCCAAGCTGTGCCATGCCATTCCAAGCCGTGCCATGCCATTCCTGGCCGTGCCATGCCATTCCTGGTGGTACCATGCCATTCCTGGCTGTGCCATGCCATTCCTGGCGGTGCCATGCCATTCCAAGCCGTGCCATGCCATTCTTGGCGCTGTCATGCCATTCTCGGCGCTGTCATGCCATGCTTTGCTGTGTCCATCAGTGCCATTCCAAACTGTTCCATGCCATTCCAAGCCGTGCCATGCCGTGCTCTCTTGCAGGGGGCAAGCGAGACACCGACCTCATCCTGCCCATCAACTCCTCCCTGAGCGTGACGCTGCACCAGGACCAGGTGGGTCAGCATCGGGATCAGGATCAGGATCAGGATCAGGATCAGGATCGGCTGTCCAGGGGTGCTGAGCCCCCTCGCTCTCTCCCCACAGCTCAAGACCACCACGACGGCGGCCGCCAGCCGGGATTTCACGGAGGACCGGCTGTGGCTCAACGGGAAGGAGGCGGACGTGGGGCACCCGCGGGTCCAGGCCTGTCTGCGCGAGGGTGAGCGTCCCCTTCCCGGGGCTGTCCCCGGTGTCCCCGGTGTCCCCTGACCCTGCTGTCCCCGCAGTGCGGCGCCTGGCCCGGAAGCGCCGCGGGGGCTGTGAGGACACGGCCACGCTCAGCCTTTCCTACAAAATCCACATCGCCTCCGAGAACAACTTCCCTACTGCCGCCGGGCTCGCCTCGTCTGCCGCCGGCTACGCCTGCCTGGGTGCGTCCCCTTGCTGTGACCTGTCCCCTCCTGTGGCAGTATGGCATGGAGGGCTCTGCCAGGGGCTGACAGGGGTGGTGGGGGTGTCCCCTCTGTTCTCTGTTCCCTGGCTGGCCCGGCTCGGTGGCAGCAGCAGGAGGGGTGACAGGGGTGTCCCCTCTGCCTGTCCCCGCAGTGTCAGCGCTGGCCCGGCTCTATGGGCTGGAGGAGGAGCTGTCCGAGGTGGCCCGGCGGGGCTCGGGCAGTGCCTGTCGCAGCATGTTCGGGGGCTTCGTGCAGTGGCAGCGCGGGGAGCGCCCCGATGGCACCGACAGCCTGGCCCTCCAAGTGGCCCCCGAGACGCATTGGCCGGAGCTCCGTGTCCTCGTCCTGGTGGTGAGGGGCTGGCAGGGCATTTGGGTGGGGTTTGGGACTTGGGGGGCTCAGGAGGGGCCGTGTCCCACGGTCTGTGTCCCCCCAGGTCAGTGGGGAGAAGAAGCCGGTGGGGAGCACGGCGGGGATGCAGACCAGTGTGGAGACCAGTCCCCTGCTGAAGGTAGGGGGACACGGGACTTGTCCTTCCCAGGCAGGGACAGGGTCCCCTTCCCTTGGAACGGGGCTGGAGGCTGTGCAGTGACACCCAAAGGGTCACAGTGCTGTGGGTGTCACCAAATTGGGGTGACAGTGACCTTCCTGCTGTGGATATCACCAAATTCAGGGTGCCCACAACCCACCCGTTGTGGATGTCACTGAATTGGGGTAGCTGTGACCCTCCTGCCGTGGATGTCACTAGACTGGGGTGGCCACAGCCTGCCTGGGGTGACCACGACCCACCTGCCGTGGGTGTCACTGCAGTGGACTGACGGTGACACCCCTGGTGTGACAGCACCGGGCAGAGGTGGTGGTCCCCGAGCGCCTGGCCCAGATGATGCAGCACATCCGGGACCGGGACTTTGAGGGCTTTGGCCAGCTGGCCATGAGGGACAGCAACCAGTTCCACGCCACCTGCCTCGACACCTTCCCGCCCATCTTCTACCTCACGGACGTGTCACGCCACATCATCGCGCTGGCACATCGCTACAACGCCCACCACGGCCACACCAAGGTACCAGCGGGGCCCCGGGCGTGTCACAGCACCCTGGCCCTTCCCCAGGTCCCCACGTCCCCACAATGCCACCACAGGTCGCCTACACCTTTGACGCCGGCCCCAACGCCGTCATCTTCCTGCTGGACGAGGCCGTGGCCGAGTTTGTGGAGGTGGTGAGGCGCAGCTTCCCCCCCAGCACCAACGGGGACCAGTAAGGGAATCTCACTTCTTACTGGGGGAGGGTGTGGGGCTGGTGGGGACGTGGGGACTGAGCGCTCGCTGTGCCACAGGTTTGTGCGGGGGCTGCCCGTGGGCTCGGCCGTGCTGTCCCAGGAGCTGGTGGCCGCTGTGGTCAGTAAGCCTGTGCCAGGGGCTGTCCAGTACATCCTGCACACCAAGGTGAGGGGCAGGGGGGCTGGGAGAGTGGGACCGGGAGGACACGGCCTCTATGGGGGCGTTCTGACCCCATCCCTGCCCCCATGGGGGTGTGGGACCACACTGCTGTCCCCAGGGGTGTCCAGGACCCCGTCCCTGTCCCAGTTCCTAAGGGAGTGCATAACAACCCTGTCCCCATCCCCAGGGCTGTGTGTGAGGGACCCCATCCCTGTCCCCATCCCCGGGTGGGTGTGCAGGACCCATTTCTGGACGTATTCCCACTGGCACAACCCATGGGGTGACCTTTTGGGGTCTGTGGGGCCCAGAGGTGCCACCCTGCGGGGGTGGCCCTGCAGGCAGTGGGGCTCCCCAGTGTCCCTGAGCCGTGTCCTGCCCCACAGCCTGGCCCTGGTCCCCAGCTCGTGGATGACCCCAGCCAGCACCTCCTGGGAGCGGATGGGCTGCCCCGGAGCCGCGCCTGACCCCGGTGACACTCTGGGACACGCCGGGGGGACTCTGCCACCAGCGCGCCTCGGGACCCTGAGCCGGGCCTGCTGCATCCTCCCCAGCCCTGGCGCAGGATGGGACCCCGGGGCTGGGTTTTAGTCTTTTGTACGGAAATAGAGGGCTCCTGTTCCAGTTGTGTTTCGGGGTGTCGGGTTCTGTGTGTGGTGCTGGGGGGGAACAGCGCCAGCCAAAATGGGGACAGGAGATGGGGACAGTCCCTGGGGCTGAGCTGCTCCTCTGCACAGCCCTGTCACCCCACACGACCCCTGCGTCCCTTGTGGGGCATCTCCTGTCCCATCTGCCCCCAAGTTGTCACTGATCCTTTCACATGGCCCCTTGCACATCGCACATCCCCTGTCCCCTCCCTGTCCCTTGCAGGACTGACCGTGTCCCGTGTCCCTCAGATGTCCCTGCGGGACACAGATCCTGTCCCCCCCTCATGGCCGCTGTTAGCG